ATAGTATCATCTCATATCCAACGCGCGCTCGTGGAATAATTGTTAAATACAGGGTGTACAGGGTACACAAGGTAGACAGGGTATACGAAGTTTACAAGGATATACATGATATACATGGGTACAAAGTGTATAATGGGTAAACATGGTACACAGGGTATACATGGGTACACAGAATACACAGGGTACACATGGGTACACAGGATACACAGGTTAAACAGGGAGTCTATATGGAGACTGGGTAACAGGGAGTCTATATGGAGACTGGGTAACAGGGAGTCTATATGGAGACTGCCATGAATTACTTGCCGTACACAGGCTAGCTTCATACGGCACAGATTGGTCACGTGGTCTGAACTCGAGGCATAACAATTTAACCGCTGAAAGACTGGTCCACGACTGCGGCGTTTGTAGCTGCTTTGTGTTCATTAATTCGTATTTGTCTTGTCACAATTAAATACTTTTAAGATTGTAAGCTTCATAAGCTGAGTGTCCATGCTATCTTTCTTCAATTACTAGTCGCCCGAATGTGTGTTTTAAATCTGCACGAGTAAATGGTCAGAAAAGAATTTCGCCTCGTCTCAATTTTTGTGGCTATTTCCTCCTTTTGGAGGCAAAGCCACATATGTTGTCGAGATGAATGAGGGAGTAAGTTGAACAATAGGATTCCGATCTTGACCCAATTTTGACCCGTTGTTTCCCGGTGCTACTTACTGTTTTTTTTCCAGAGTATCCTGGTAGTTAGGCATTTGCACTAGATACACAGTTGAGTTCTCTCCTTTTGTGATTTCTGGGTTACAGCCACAAGGGATATATAACATACTTAGCGGCTTATGTCAGGTTTACGGAAAAGAATGCATCGGTCTATACAGAGACGACGGACTTGCTACTTTTGAACACACCTCAGGACCACGAGCAGAAAGAGATTTTAAATCCCCTGATGTGTGGGCAACCACGAAACAGGTCTGTAGGGATGAAATATAGTTGATTGATTTTTTTTTTCTGCCTATCACACGTTATACTCGCTCTACTATATGTATCGAGCACTGTTTTACGGATAGTCAAGTTTAACCCCTCTCTCTATATATTTATATATTTTTTTTTTCGAAGGGAATGAAAGAAGGGTGGAGTACATTACAGTGGCTGCAAATAACAGACTTGAAAATATCTGCTAAATTATCCTAGACGAACCTCCCTATAAGGTTAAATATTAATTAATACTAAGAATTCTGCAACAAACAGGTACACCTTACATTTGCATCTATTGGGTCATTGTCATGCGGGAGTGAAAAACTGGAAAACCCTCGACTTTAAGATTTTGGTGTTATTTTTCGAAGCCCAAAAATCAGATTTGTAGAACGAAAGTCTTTCTCTAGAAAAGGCAAGCCTATGCTACAGAAGCACTGCAGATTTTCTGCTCTATTCCATAACAGTCCTATTTAGTGTTATCTAACTCAACCACCCATACTTTTTTTTTAAATGGGATATATTTTTTTGTTTATTTTCAACTTTAAGCTGTTATTGTTATGTTCCAATTGGCCCGTTCAAAGATTTTATAACCAGGCTCCTAGAAAGGAGCAGATGCCATGTTCAGAGGAATCTTATCTTGGTCCTGAGAGCGTCCCATTCAGAAAGGAGATCTATGAGAGTGCCAATGTTCTCTTTTCGTTTGCACATCTGCGCCAAGCCGGTAATTCATAACATTCAGCCAATCTTTTTCTTCTTGTCTTGCTCACTTCCTCAGTCATCAACTACATTTAATTTTCATGGTAAATTGGGAATTCTGGTTGTCTGCAGCTTCAAAAATAAAGTAAGACAGCAAAATTGATAAGAGCCATTTCTGGTCTTGTGACATTAATAACCTTTAATTTCGTTGTTCTGTTTCACAGGTTTAGTCAAAGAGTTAAGAAAGAACTTGATTCTAACCCCAGCCTGCAATAATTTAATTTATTAAAAATGGCCACTGCTCTTAGACCAGACGCTGTGCTATGTCCTTCAAAAGGGCGAGATAATTTTCAACGGATGGCTCGGCTTTTAATAGGTGGAGGTACTGTGCTATTGAGGGAGGTTTTTGACAACAAATGTCCACCGAGTAATCTTCCAGCAATCCTGAAGAACCCAGCTACAAAGAAGCTACTCAAGGCTGCAAAGCTCACCAAACCACAATGGGAGTGTTTGTACCCATCCCCAGGGGTGTATGGAAAGTCAACAGACTTTGATATAACTCTTCTCTTTCGGTTGCTGAGAACAATTTGCAGCCTCACCCCTCCAGCCAAAGGTTGGGATTCTTTACCTTTACCCACAGACCAAAGCTTAGAGGCAGATTTAGCAAGAATTAAATTCTACCATAATTCAATATATGGTCATGTGAATGAGAAAATGGAAGTATCAGATGATGATTTTTTAGTACACTGGAAAGAAATCAGCGAGGCTCTGGTAAGAATTGCGGGTCAAGTCAACCCTGTAAAGAAAACAGAATGGCGGAAGGCTATTGGTACACTTTTGAAAGATCCCCTTACTGACAAACACAAGAAACATGATGAGGGGGAATTGCGCATTTGGTACCAGAGTGATATGGAAGTAAAGGAATGTATGACAACGATGAACTCTTCAATAAAAACTACGGCCCAAGGGGTGCAGCGCTTAAGACAAGAGCTTCAAGATGAAGCCCAAGGTATCAAAGATTATCTTGGAGAGGAAGTAAAATCTACAGCCCAAGAAGTGCAGTGCTTAAGGCAGGAACTTCAAGATGTGGCCCAAAGCATTAAAGATCACCTTGGAGGGGAAGTAAAAACTGCAACCCAAGAAGCGCAGAGCTTAAGACAGGAACCTCAAGCCGAGGCCCAGGACAGCAGAGATCAGCTTGGAGGGGAATTAAAAACTACAGCCCAAGAGGTGCAGTGCTTAAGAAAGGAACTTCAAGATGAAGCCCAAGAGATCAGAGATCACCTTGGAGGGGAAATAAAAACTACAGCCCAAGAGGTGCAGTGCTTAAGAAAGGAACTTCAAGATGAAGCCCAAGACATCAGAGATCAACTTGGAGGGGAAGTAAAAACTGCAACCCAGGAGGTGCAATGCTTAAGACAAGAGCTTCAAGATGAAGCCCAAAGCACGAGAGATCAGCTTAGAGGAGAAGAAAAAACAACAGCCCAAGAAGTGCAGTGCTTAAGACAGGAGCTTCAAGATGAAGCCCAAGGCGATAGAGATCAGAGTGGAGTAAGAGTAAAGACCTCAGCCTTAGAAGTGCAGTGCTTAAGACAAGAGCTTCAAGATGAAACCCAAGACAACAGAGATCAGCTCGGAGGAGAAGTAAAAACTACAGCCCAAGAAGTGGAGTATCTAAGACAAGACCTTCAAGATGGAGCAAAAGGTATCAGGGCTGAATCACTTGCAAAGCAAGTGAATTTGGAAATTTCTTATCAAATTTTAGTGTTTATTTCTTATCACAGTCTGCACCTTTAAATATTTGTTAATTCCTTTGGCTTTTGATGTTATGTGTCATTGTATCCTTCCCATTCTCAAAGAGGATATATATTTATTTTGTAGTTTGGTACACTGAGCTGATGTTAATAGCGTTTTAACCATTTTCTTCTATGAAAGCATGATGTAAAAAACCAAAAGTTTGTAAGAAGCTTTTTCTCAGTTTTTCAGTTTGATGTACTAAGATTACAAAGCAGCTTTTAATGAGACAAAATTTTACCACCATGTATTAACCCTTCTATCATCTTAGATAATTCTTTTATCATTTTATCATTTTAGATCCGGAACTGTCAACTTCATACGTCGTGAACCAAATCACTCAAAAATTCAAGCAATTGCGCCAGTTACGAGAAGACCTGAACAAGACTTTTATCGAATGGATACCAAAGAGAAAACATACCAGGGAGAAACTGCAAGAGCTTGCGACAAATTTAAACAAACATCACACAAATGTTAACATATCAACCATCACAGGGGCGTCTATGGGTACCGTAGGAGGGATCCTATCGATAGCGGGCCTCATCGTTGCACCTTTCACTCTTGGAGACGGGATTGCGATCTCACTCGTTGGCGCCGGAATTGGAGGCGCGGGAGGTCTGGTGATGTCAGGTTCCAAGGTAACTGAGCTAATTCTCACAAAATTAGGATTGAAAGAGGTTCAAGAGGCCATTGATGAGGACAGGGAAGCTTGCACGCAACTGCAAGAAAAGTTGGAAGCTCTCAAGAACTTCATCTCCACTCTAGCAGAGTTTCTGAAACCTCTTCACAACGATGCTCAGTTGAGAGGAGAATTAGAAGGTAGTGGTTTTACATTCCTTCACCATCTAACCCCTTCTGAACCCACGACTTCCCCCGGAGAGAGAGTAGATTTCGGCGCCAGGTTCTTCCGGATTTTCTTGTCCGCGGCTTCAATCTCGGCCTCAGCGTACGCTACCACGACGAGAGGTTTGGTGGGGAGCGTGGCATTGGCGGGAGTACCTGTTGCACATGTGGCCGGTTCAGCAGTAAGCGCGGCAGTGTTACCTCTGGACATCGTATTGCTAGTGAAGTCGTCAGTAGAGCTCAAAAGAGGTTCGACTTCCAAGGCGGTGGAAGACATCAGGCAGATCTTAAGTGAGTTAGAATGCCCAGAGGAGGAAGAAATTCAACTCATGGTGGAGAGGTTTATCGAAGAAAAGTTTACTGAGGCCAAACTGAGGCCTATAATAATGACAAGAGCAAAGCCGAAAACGCCACAGAAAAACCAAAAGATGTGAGTGGTGCGAACAGTGATTAATTGGTTAAAGAGGCTGGGTCTTTAACCAATTAATCACTGGGTCTTAACGACTTAACGACTTAACGACTGGGTCTTAAGTGTTAAGACCCAGCCTCAGTGAGGCTGGGTCTTAACACTTTATCTCACAAAATCTGATTCGTAATACTCACTGCAGTATATTTGCAGTATATTTAGTAAATAAACCCCCTTCGGGCGGCTGTTATGTCGGCTGATAATGTCTGCGGCTGAGAGATGGTCCGAAAAATAAATATTTGGCCGAGAAGCGAAGCTTCGAGGGCAAATATGAAATTTTGAGGACAATCTCTCAGCCAAGGACATTATCAGCCGACATACCAGCAATCCAGAACGGGGTTTATTTATTTTGTAACCCTCTCATTAATTTTCACATCGCAATTAAACTGCGGGTAAACACAGTATAAAAAAGCCAGTGGTGATTTGATGGCGAATGCGCGTGATTGATGCAAGCAATTAAGTACATATGATTGGTTTAAATTACTTTTTTTTAATGTGATTGGACCAAACCTTGACAAGCTGTCATTTGAAATTAATTCTCATAACGCCCCTTAGATCAAAAACTCGAAAACTTGGCGCTTTTGGTTCACATTTTCCGACGTGCTGTTCAAAAACTTGACTACAAAGAAATGTTTATCAGTCTCAGGAAAAAATCAAATCATTTCAATTTTCACTGTGAGGACTGAAAAAAAAACCAGTTTGGTTTTCTTCCATGTAAATAGGAGAACGGAAAAGTTGAAACTCTTGTGTTGACTATGCTTCTTTTTCACGGAAAAAATCGGAGGACAAATATCGACGCGGACGGGGTTTATTGCGTGATAGCTGTCCTGTGATTTCGCACCAGGTGACGTAAAGTAACCACTAAAATCGCGCCAAAATTAATGGGTGGGTTATAATTTCTCATAAACTACTCAAGAGAATGTTGTGTTAAAAAATTTCCCGATGACAACTTTTACAATCTCAGCACCTGTTTGCTAGATTATGTACCGAAAGGTTTAGGAGAGATAGACTTCGACCTTTCCTGGGAGGTTCAGCTTTATCAACGTTTAGTCGTTTCTGCGTTGATAATGAGTTACAATGAAGAAACCTACTCAAGTTGATTTAGAAATATCACTATTATTGATAACTTTCATCTTAGTTCAGTGAAAAGAAATTCGTCTTTTAGTTTTGTTTCCTAAAATTGTTTTACCCCAGAATCGAAGATCTTTCTTCAAAATTTTTTCTGTTTTCTTCGGACCTTGAAACAAATTTCGCCATGTATTCTGAGTGCGTTTTCTTTTTGCAATGTTTCGCACCTGGCGATCCTACAGTCCTTTGCACAAACGAAAGTCCGGATCAGATTTCAGGGAAGTCGTTTAACCCAAATACATTTTCTTGCAGAGGTGGAATGCGGGCAGATTTATGATAAAAGTAGCAATGAAAGCAACCAATCTCTAAGTAATTTTATAAACTTCAGTTGTAAAGCTTGAATATAATTATAGTGATGGTTGGGTGAATGATTTTTTGAAACATCAACCAGAATTCTAATGTTTGGAGGATAAGTCACGCGTGAGCTTGCAGTCGGTACAACCAAGAGATTATATTCTTTCAGTGAAACTAAAACCTGAAACTCATTATAATTTGATGCGAAATAGCGACAGCCTATCACATAATTATGCTTCCAAATTTTTTTTCATGGACTAGACCTTCAAAGATAATTTTTTACTTCATTGAATATTTGTCTTGCAGAAATTTGTTGTCAAACAAAGATTATGTCCGAGTCACGACGAGTTACCGAGTGTTGGGCCGGTTAGAAGAAGACTTGATTAACGCTTTTAGGCGCTGGATACCAAGGAGGAAACATACTATGGAAAAACTAGAGGAACTAGCGTCCAAATTACTCGAACACCACATGAATGTCAGTAAATCGACCGTAGCAGGTGCTTCTGCGAGTACCCTAGGAGGAATCCTAGCGATAGTGGGCCTGATTACCACGCTCTTTACTTTTGGAGCCGGGCTTGTGGTCTCCCTCGCTGGCGCCGTAATCATAGTCGCAGGAGTCTTGAGGATGTCTGTTTCCAAAGCAATCTACATAACCCTCGCAAAGTTAGGACTGAAGAAAGTTAAGGAAACCATTGACGAGGACAGGGGAGCCTGCACGCAACTGAAAGGAAAGGTGGACAACCTCGAGAAGTTCATCTCCGATCTGAGAGGAATACAAAACGAGGGTTCTGCGTTTCTTCACAATCTAGCTCAAAGGGAGTTCACGACTTCAACCGAGGAGAAAGTAGATTTCTCCGCCAGGTTTTTCTGGGGCTTCTCGTCCACGGCTTCAATAGGGGCTGGGGCGTTTGCTGCTGCTGGTGGCTTCGCGCGAACCGGGGGTTTGGCGGGAGTGCGCGTGGCCAATTTAGCTGGAGGAATTGTTGGCGCCGTGTTGTTACCTTTGGATATCTACATGTTGATGAAATCGTCTTTAGAGATGCATAAAGGCTGGACTACGCAGGCTGTCCAAGACATCAAGGGGCTGCTAAGCGAATTGGAATGCCCAGAGGAAGATGAGATTCAGGGAATGGTACGGAAATTCATCGCCGAGAAGTTTAAGGCCGGAGACCTTTAAGGATGAGGGTTCAAATGAAGCACAAAGAAAGTGACCATCAAAATTAAGCCGAAACTGTAGCAATTTAGTACACACGAAACCTGAGTGAAGCGACCTGGTGTACTAAGTAGAATCCTCCAGAACCTAGGCCAAAGATGTTTTTTTTTTTTTATAAAAGCTGTGCACTTAGGTAAATCGTGTCCAGTTCAGCAATTTCAATTTATTACAAGGAAAAGAGCCGATTGCTGAGTAACAGCATTGACTAACTCATTAGGATTAGCCGAACGTACAAACCTCATTTCTAAACATATTTTGATTCATATTTTCTTTTATAGCGATCCGCCATGGCAGAGATTATAACAAACTCAGCAAAACATCTCGCTCTTGATTATTCAACTTCAAATGCACAAATAGGCTGCAGAGTCTAAAACTGGATTTCCGTTCCGCATACTCTAGAAATTTAAGCTTTCAAGGATATAAAAAAAGATATGCTACTTTGTGAAATGCTACGAAATCCGTAAAGACTGGTTTGTCTGTCACAGTTATTCCATCCATTGACGGATCCAGACCTTGAGCTGAGGGGGGGGGTCGTTTTATTTTTCTGTGTGTTTACCTGCCGGATGTTCTTCCCTCTGCGTTTATTTTTTACCCAAACTGAGGGGGGAGGGTCCGGTCCTCCCGTGCCCCTCCCCTAGGTCCGCCCCTGGTATTGGATCAATGTCACTATTTGGGCAATTGCGCACCTACCCCTCTCGTGACCCAAAAGCCAGCGAGTCAACAGAATAACAAGCTACGGTTAATGTTGGATCAGGGGAAGGGTGGGTGCGGAGTTTCTCGGTTATTGTACTAGAACCCTTGTATCAAATATAACCAATTCTAAGAGAACAGAACCTTTTCCCAAACCGTTGACGTGTGTTAGAATTGGAGCTATGCCCACCCAGACCGTGAAAGTTGCCCTAAGAACTGATTTTGTTGATAACATAAAGGACAAATGATCGTGTGAATCGCTCATAGTTTCCGTGATATTCACACGTGATGTTTTGAAAAGTTTTCAAATTCACTTTCCTACGGCTCGTGCAATTCGGCAAACTTTCAAAACACCATTTACGCCTCTAAACCACGTACTACACTCGCGTTTTTACAATTTCCATCATCACGCGCGATAAAGGTGGCTCAAAATAGCTGATTTTTTTAAGTTGTGACGGCTGTGAAGAAATTTAAAGTTGGGCTCGCTATCTTTTGGTAATTTACTTGAACCTGTTGAAGGAGGAGACCTGCACCAATCCTGCACTAGTCGTACACCTGCAAGGTCCAGTGTTAATTAACTGATATGTGGGACAAGTGTACTCCGGAAACCCTGAGATTTTTATATCCTCTGTTGAAAAGCATATAAAAACGTTGAATTCTTGCCTAGTTTTGAGTTTCCAGAGAGAAACCAAACCTTCGGAGATTCTTTTCTTTGTCACAAAGTCGACTGCAGAGGCCGCCATTTTGAAAAACAACTTTGTAACCTAGCCGGAAACACGAAATCCCGAATGGCACCCCAAAACGCGCGCACCACAAACAGCCTTTATTCCATTTGGTGATTGGCTGTACTGTTGTAACAAAGCTAGCGCTTCGGTTCGAATCGATACAGTTGTAGACATGAAGTCTTTAACCCTCGTGGGTAAGCGGCCAAGTTACTAGCTAAACAACAATCAAGTTTCAGGCGCATTCGAGGAAAATTGCCGCAAGGTTACGTTTCTCTCTGGAATATCACATCACGGTCGTGTCTTAATTCAGTCAAATATGCTTGTTTTGACCTTACCCACTCACAGGAGTGATAACAGGTGATATCTCCCTGAAAACATCATCAAACTTCCAACAAAAAAGTGACAAAAATAGAGCAATTCAACAACCGACGGATGCTATATTGATTTTCCGGTAGTCCGCGGCACCAAATGCAGATATATAAAATACAATATGGAGTTAATCTACAGTGTTAGGTGGGCTCCTGACAGTGTTCAATAACTTTAAGTTTTTCAAATACAACCTTTACAAAATTGATGATGCATAGAGCATTAAATCTGTAAATTAACTCCATATTGTATTTCATATATTTGCATTTGGTCCCGCGGAACTATCGGAAAATCAATATAGCATCCATCGGTTGTTGAATTGGTAATATTGTAGTAAAAGCAGAATCCCTGAGTCGAGATAAGAACAGCAATCATTTCTTCTTTGTTTTACAGAGGAGGGAAGGGAACAGCGAGGCAAACGCGAGGCACGCGTGAAGGGTGGGTCACGCACAAGAGGATAAGTACTCCTCGCTTCGTGTGGACCTCTGTGCATACCGCTTCAGTTTTATTCCACCCTTACACTAAAATAGACAATAAAATGAAAGACAAGTTTTTCCAATCGCCAGTGATGTGTTAATTTCAATCATTATTCATTGTTACATGAATAAAAGCTTCTTTCAGTCTGATTGGAAAGCAGGCTGTACTCTAATTGCGTTCTTCTCCATATCGAAGAACTTTCGTGTGTCCCATAATGGTAGAGAAGTAAAGTGAGTCACACAACACCAGTCACGCAAGACACAGAAGATGCAATAACGAACTAAAACTCGAAATCTCTGTCCTAACTTCGTAGGGGTCAACTACTCCATTGCCTGCAAGATCGTAAATGTTGTTTGGAATCCTACTCTCTACACTATAGTTACTGGTGGCGAAGGTACCGATGTGGTGCCCTTGGTACTTGGTGATGAGAAGACAAGGGAATCTTAACGTGCTAGTGCATCTGTTTCCTCATGACACAGCGCTGGCGCTGGCACTGTCTGATAGCTTTAATCCTTCATCGATCTCATAGTAAAGAATGATATTTATCACCCTCTTCTGGATACGGGCTGGGTACTCTACAAATTTTCTTAATCCTTGGAACTTCAGATACGTTTTTTTCTTCATCGCGGTCACACTACTGACGAGCATCCTTTCTTCTTTTCTTTATTAAGAACCACCATGCGACTCCCTGAACTGAAATATAGCACAAACCAGATATGGTAGGAAGGGGTGTTGGCGGCAATTATTCGAAGGCGGGCACTAGGAAGGGCACACCCTGAGAGTGTTCGCATTAATAATTAAAAGGATAACTTTATTTAATAGCTTTATTTGATAAGAATTTTACCGGATGACTAATTCGAACACTTAGTTACTACATATTAACTAAATCAGTGAAGGCGAAATCCTATTATTGACGCTATATTTGCTTGCTATTGATGCTCTCTCTGTTGCTGTAGATATTTCTCGATCAACTCATTGAGGCTTTCCGCGGCTGCAATAATTTTCGGGAAAACCAACTTTGTCGAAGTTTCCTTGAAAAAATGTAATCTCCTTTTCCTTTACTTCGTGTGTTGATTGAGTCTTTTGGTGCTTGAAGGCTTTACCCCGCTCGTCTGGTTTTCCCGCTTTGCGAAAATGTGACGTATGAGCCAATAAGGTTCACAGGTTACTGGAAGCAGGAGTAACGAAAACTTTGGAAGTACTCGCAACATTTTGTCAAACTACCGCTTACCCATTGTTGGGCATCTCACTGTCCCCTCGAAGCACCTCTCAAGCTTATGTTCCCAGGTACCAAAGAATCACACTGATGTAGTTCGAAGGAAGGAAATCGGGAGGTTAAAGGCCTAACTGCCTACTTCTTTTGCATGGACGAATGCATAACCCTTCATTAAGGAATTCTTGAAAGTATGTTAAAGTTACAACTTGAACAGATAAGAAGACTGTCTGGGAGGTTCAACGGGTATATATGCAACACGCAATCTCCCATTTGGAATCTGATAGCCAATTTGCTGTAGTATCGAAGATCATGGTAAAGTCGTTTACGGAAGGTAATTGGAAGAATAACAAAACTGACTCTGGCGTACTTTTAGCCACATATTGCGCTGATCATAGAGGTCTATTAAGCATCAGGAATGAGAACTTTTAACTTCCGCCTTCTGTCCGCGTCTCAAATACGATTTTTCTTAAGTTCCCTTTTGAAATCATTATTATCACCATTCCGCAAAGGAAAAGTAAACTCGTTTAAGATCAATGATGCTTCGTACGTTTTTTTCCCTAGAAATATTAAGATATGATTTATCTTTCATCCTCTAAAGAGGGTGACTGACAATCGACCGTATCGTGACTGCTTGGTATTATATTTCTTATGTTAAACATTGTGCATACAACCTTAATGGGATCAGTTTCTTTTCTTATCATGGAAATGGCTCCATAAAACTTTTGCCTAATTTCCTCAGTACTTTAAATACTCAACATGTACTTATAGAACTCTTTCTGTAAACAGTATTATGTAGTGGCAAGCTGTAAATGTCGTGGCATCATAATTTTGAAACAGCTAGATTTCCTTCGTTAAAACTCACTCAGAAGTGAGGCCTTACCTTAAAAAGAGAAATCTCTAGCAGAATTCCCGAGACTATCCTCAAAAACTATTAAGCGGAATATGCTCCTAATATTATTAGAGTATAGTGATTGCCATGCCATACCCACTATTTCAATCTTCAGCAGGGTCAGCACGTGTGAAGTTAGTTTCACTGCAAACAGGGAAAGTTGATTTTTGAGCACTTTGAAACTATTGAGTCAGAAGGTGTCTTAAAAAACCGTTTCCTATCACCTTAAATAGGGTATTTCAGTATTTTGTTTGGTTTATTCACAATATTAAGCTGTTATTTCTATCTGCCAATTGGCTAGTTCAAAGATTTCATGACCTGGCTCCTATAAAAGAGTAGCTATGTTCAGAGAAATCTTACCATGGTCATAAGGGTGTCCTGAGAAAGGAGATCCATGAGAGTGCTTGCATTCTCTTTTCATTTGCACACCTCTCTATTAATCATGACATTCAGCCAAATATCTTCTTGTCTGTCATACACTATCAATCAATAAGTACATTACATTGCTTAAATTGTGAATTCTGGTCATCAAGTTTGAAATGACGTCAAGGCAATCACATTTGAATGGGTCATTTCTGGTCTTGTGACATTGATAACTTTTAATTTCACAGGCTTAGTGATAGAGTTAAGAAAGGACTCAATTGTAACCCTGGCAATATATTATTCTGCTGCGGAAAATAGCTATTGCTCTCGGACCAGATAAGGTGCTTTGTCATACAAAAGGGCGAGATTATTTTCAACGGATGGCTCGGCTTTTAATAGGTGGAGGTACTGTGCTATTGAGGGAGGGTTTTGATAACAGATGTCCACCGAGTAATCTTCCAACAATACTGAGGAATCCAGCCACAGAGAAGCTACTTAAGGCTGCAAAGCTCACCAAACCACAATGGGACTGCCTGTACCCATCCCCAGGGGTGTATGGAAAGTCAACAGATTTTGATATAACTCTTCTCTTTCGGTTGCTGTGAACAATAGGTAGCCTCACCCCTCCTGCCAAAGGTTGAGATTCTTTACCTTTACCTTCAGACCAAAGCTTAGAGGCAGATTAAGCAAGAATTAAATTCTACCGTAATTCAATATATGGTCATGTGAGTGAGAACATGGAAGTATCAGATGATGATTTTTTAGTACTTTGGAAAGAAATCAGCGAGGCCCTGGTAAGAATTGCTGGTCTAATCAACCCTGTAAAGATAGCAGAATGGCAGAAAGCTATTGGTACATTTTTGAAAGATCCCCTTAGTGAGAAAGACAAGGGACATGACCAGGAATTGCTCAATTGGTACCAGAATGGTACGGGAGTAAAGGAATATATGAACAAGGTAAACTCCTCAATAAAGCACTTGACAGAAACAGTTTGTGAGGAGGCCAAAGGCACTAATGATCAACTTAATTGCTTAAGACAAGAGCTTCAATATGAAGCTCAAGGTATCAAAGATCAGCTTGGAGAGGAAGTAAAAACTGCAGCCGAAAAAGTGCAGTGCTTAAGGCAAGAGCTTCAAGATGCAGCCCAAGGCCTCAAAGATCATTTGCAACAGGGAGGCCAACCCAATTCCTCAGCAGGAGGTCAGCTTATTGCTTATTTTCTTGTATATCATTTTCTTTTTAATTTATTTTTCTCTTTATCATAAACACCGATTCATTACATTATAGTGTGTCCTGTACAGTGCAACATATACACTTACATTTAATTTTACAGGAATGGCTCCATATATTTTCAAAGCTCAAATCAATGTCAATTACCATTTCAAATCGTTTTGACTCCGTTCCTAGCTTTGGGAGGTTGTAGCGCTAGCTAACTCAAAGAAAAACAGAAATATTAAAGCTTATAATGTTAACTTTATCTCAATGGCCAAGAGTACTGACTTTACCATAGAGTACCACAACCTAGATCTTGAAGTAGCTAAAGAAGTAGGTGACAAGGGTGGGGAGAGTTATGCTTATGGAAATCTTGGCATTGCTCATCAGAGTCTGGGTGATTTAAGAAAAGCCAAAGAGTATTATGATTGTCTTGAAACAGCTAAAGAAGTACTACAACCCACTCCTTGAAATAGCTAAAGAAGTATTTAGAGTCAAGCATGGAGAGGGTAAAGTTTATTGCAATCTTGGCATCGCTAATATTTTATTCTGGGTAACTTTACAAAGGCCAAAGAGTTATACCAAACGTATGTTATCAAATTTTTCATACTAATATGTTTGAGTTAAGAGGTAAGACATATTTTATTCAAAAAAGTTTAGTCAAATTGAGTTCCTTTCATCATTAAACACTTATGTTTTCAATTGAAACGTAAGGAACCAAGACAAAAGGGTTGAAATTGCCCATTACATCGCAACAAAAAAACAGTGATGTAGAGTATTGTCCATGCCTGAATTTTTCCTTTTTGTAAATTATAATGTATATGACAAGGAATGTTCCATTTCAATTGGGAAAATTTGTTTATGCTCCTGAAATAGGTCAGCAATCAAAGGAAACCATGCAGTGTTCAAAAGTAAGCATATCTGTAGAAAAGAGTTATGAATATAATGTAAATCGAGCTCTTATTTTTAGAAATACAGGGCTTAAGGATAACACTATCAATTATTGAAATTTTCCTCTTTAAAATTTTCTTTGCTTTGAACTTTTTCCTTTAATTTGAAAATATCTTTTCTAGGTATCCGTAAGTATTTGGAACTTTTCCTGTATTCAAGACCGGTTATGTGGTCAAAAGTTAAATATTTACAGTGTCCAGGTATTATGGAGGAAATTTTGTGAACCCAATCTTAATTTACATTGTAACAGACTCTGGTGGCTACCATTTGTGTGCAGCTCCATTTCATATCAGGGAGAAGTATACTCCGGAAACCCGGAAATTTTTATTTGAGCTGTTTAAAAGTACAGTGGAACCCCTCTAAACCGGACCCTCATTAAACTGGAATCCTCTCTTTACTGGACCTTTTTTCAGCCCCAAAATCTGTCATACGTTATCTGTATTTTTAACCTCAATAAACCGGAACCCCTCACTTCCGGAAACCGAACGCTTTTTTCAGTCCTTAATCTCATACTGACAAGAAATTGACCTTGTTAAACCGGACGTGAAAGTTTTAAGCTTGCCACCCACGGGAGGGTGGGGGGTACTGCCATATATGGGCTACATAGGTATGTCCCGCTGTGAAGGGTATGGGACACTTTACTCTAGGATAGGGTATATAAATCAGAGCATTTGGGTCTAGAATAGGGTATCATTTTTCAGGAAACTGATCAGTTGGTTGAAGATCTTATCTAGACTAGGGGAACCGGGAATTGCCACTCCAACATATAAAAACATCAAATCAACAAGTTGAAATTTACGCAACTCAGCCCAGGGAGTAAAAGCAAAGAAAGTGTCAATAGACGGCTATCATAAAACAGTACTGGATATTATTAACTGTCAAAAATCGGGATTGAGATGGAAGTCGGTGGTTTTATTACTGGTTAAAATTGAACAATTTATTGTTCCTTATAATGGCGTATGTGCATGCTTGGCGTAGCTCAGCTACAGAGCTCAGCATGTAACTTGCAACGTGACCAAGTTGAATATGGGGTTGAAAATCGAAAACCCGTGTCCAAAACCCATCCAAAATTAGGACTCATTTAGGACTAATCTTCGAGACTATACAAGAAGGAAGGTGGACTAGCTTTTTTGTAACTTAGAGAAAGAAGGTAAGTGCTTCTTTTTTTTTAGCTGGAAAACAGCTACTCTAGGATAGGGGGGTTTGGGGAGTTTACTCTAGTATAGGGCAGCCAAATTCAGCTGAACTAGCTCTAGTATAGGTTAAGGGTTCCAGGGTGCCAGCGGCACATCCACACCGAGAAAATCCTAAAGTACCCCCCTCCCCGGGGGCTTGCCACCAAAATCAAATCACACGTTTTTAAACGAGATTAAAATTAAAACCGTAATAATGCAGCTGTGAAATCCCTATCAGAAGTGAGAAACGTGCATCGGCTAATTACTCATAGTTCTATCGGTACTGAAGGAAAAAATCTAAAGTCGACAATCGTGCCGCTGTTGTTGGGTTGAATGAATGACAACAATAGGGGTCAGGTTAAGAGAATGTCATGTTGCGGGTAAAATTACGAACAAACGAAGTAGCAAACATCACTATGTCTGAGAGACCAGAGTTATCGTTAGAGAAGAGAATTGAGTTGATCAAATACGCGGAATCAGTGCCTAAACCAACAGTGAAGGCTCTAAGCGGTAAATTTGGGATCGGTAAATCAAATGTATGTGATATTTTGAAGAAAGAAGCTAGTCCACAAATGATTTAAAGCGGCGATCATATTACCCTGTGTGTAACACTGACTTTTTTGTAAATTAAATAAAATGACGTTGAAAAGCCTCCTTGTGATCCATGTTGTTAGTTCCTTTACTGATGTGCTTTATTAGTGCTTGGGCACCATGTACTGGTACTTACAGTAAGATGGTACATTATGCTGCATAAAATCGCCTTATGGGTAAAACCTCATGACACCGGACACACCTCTAAACCCGACATTTCCCCCTGTCCCAAAGTGTTTTCGGTTTTGAGGGGTTCCACTGCATATAAAAACGTTAACTACGTACCGAGCTTTGAGATTCCAAGGACAACCCAACCTTTCGAAGATTCTTTTCTTTCTTTCTTTCTTTCTTGCCACAAATTCGAATGCGAACGCCACCATTTTAAAAAATAACTTTGTGACCAAGCCGAATACATATATCTTATTAGACGTTTTGTTGTGTAGTATCGCTGATTATTATCCAACTACACCTAGACGAGTACAAATAACGCCATAGACGAGTACAAATATCACGCGGTATTTGTACTCGTCTATTGTAGAGTACCGGTTAAACAGGTTTTCTCGCATCGCGCAAGCGAAGAATTGGATTGTAGTTACGAAAAAAAAAA